CGAGAAACCTAAACCCGATATTGACGAAGTTTTCAACCACGTTAGGCAATTGCTGATGAACGACGAGTTTTTAGAAGACTACTTTATGTTATTCGGTAAGCATAAGGATAGGATAATTATTGAAATTCCTGTTGATAAGTCATAAGTACAATGTAGTTATAATCCTTAAGTTGTTACAGATTATAACTACACTATGGTTTTTCCTTATCCCTAAACCTTATTCCTATTATAGACATTTTATTAGAGAATACCATTTCCATTTTCTAGGGTTAGGGATTTTGGGGTTGGGGAATATGGAGGTTGGGGTTTTTCTATGTGGGTCTTCATATGGGTCTTCTGGTGGTTCTATTATGTGGGTCTTGCTATGGGTCTTTTGGTGAGTTTAGGGTTGAGGTATAGGTTGTTATNNTGGTTAGAAAATGGAAATGGTCATTGCTAGCTGTGTTATGGTATACCAGCTTTAGCTTGGAAAGCTGGGCCAGTGGGACAACAGCAAACGGAGCCGTCTAGATTGAGGGGTGGGATTTCTACGGGTTTTCTAAAACAAAATATCCATGGGGGCCCTTCAGGCATGAGGGGTTCACCAAAGGGAGCATAGGGCCTAGGTTGCAGGAGATTGAAAAGCCATCCTGAAACTACACTAGCCGCAGGCCATGTGCACCACGTGAGATGTCACGGCGTCCCAACCAGAACTAGCCCGGGACTAAGACTTGAGACATCGCTTTATTCACAGGACAAGAGCTGTACTTGATCCATATGCAATAACATTATGATTTCTCGCATGGGGATGGTAGCCTGGGCATCCCCTGTACTTAGAAGCCACATATCAGACCCCCAGGTTCTGAGCTTCCCTTCAAGTTTCAATACTGGTCCGCCATATATGCCAACAACAACTAGCGCAAGCACAGCCCTCAAAGAGAGTATATAATTTCGAGCTACTCCCGTGCTTGACACAGATATCCCTTAAGCCTAAACCCCAAACCCTAAACCAAAACCAGCCCAGCGGCAGCTTGCGTCTGAGCACAGCATCCAAACTAGTTTTCGGAGTCTCTGCGGACTTGTCTGCTGAGTGCTGCGCTGCATGCAGCACCAAACCTAAACCGTGGCTGAGCATTTTGGGTTTAGGGTTTGGGGATTAGGGTTCCAGTCTTAGGGTTCAAGGTTCGGAGGTTTTGGTGAAAGGTTAGGATTCATGGACACTTCACGGGGTAGACATCAGGGTTTTAGCGGTTGACAGGAACTTGGTCCCTTCAGCTGTATACTGTATAGAGCACATTTGATGTAGGTAACGGGCTTCCCAGTATTGTTCTACCCTAAACCCCAAACCCTGAACCCTAAACCCTAACCCATGTCCTCGGGTCGGGGGCTTTGCTGAAGCTTCGAGGTTTTGTTGGTGAAGGGTCATTGGATCTCAGGGTTCCAGCTGCTCCGACTTGAGGCCTGTGGGACAACCCGAAGTCCCAAACACCAAACCCTACTTACTGGTTGTTAGTAAGGAATAGGGGAATATATCACATGGGGATTATATAGGGACTATTTTGCCACATTCCCTACGAACAACCAGTACGCTTAACCCCGCGTAAGAGTTCGGGTATAGAAGCTTCTCGGGCTTTGCCTCCGGGATGCCAAAGCTAAATTGAAGGATGAACTGAATGGCCTACAAAGATTTACATCCTCTCCACTAATACTCACCCCGCCCCCACACCCCAATAACAAAGACTCTCCCCAAAAATGTGATTGTACTTCATGGGAGGTATCTATCAGGGCGCGGGGGGTTGTTCATTATTAGGGGGAGGGGCTAGCGTCTCCGTATCACGAAGAGGATGCCACATGCTGGGGGCGGATGAGGACTCGTGGTCTTCCAGTGCTCAACTGGTAGAAAAAGGTCTCGGATTCATGCTCAGGTTCTGGTGTTCGTGCCCCTACCGCCTGATATCCCTAGGAAGCCTATTTTGGGAATCGCCCTGCTCCCTACACCTACCAACTCTGCCAAGTATCGCGTGCGGGGCAAGGACTGAAGTTCGCTGGGACCGCAGAGGCCCAGGAGATCGCTCGAATCGGGTTTCAGGTGCCCTTTCACCTTGGGATTTAGTGTTAAGAGTTTATACTTACGCCCCCTCCATGGAGTCTCAGTTCCCTTTTTTTGGTTCCAGCGGAGTTTCGGGGAGAATAACGAGCGAGTTTGGTTCAGGGTTAGGCTTATGTGTGTGCAGCTTGAAGCTAGGGGGGGTATCAGGGTTTGCGGTGGGTTTGTCAGTGACTTGGGTGTCAAACGACTTCGGGGCGAAGATTGTCCAAGATTTGTGATTTCAGGCCACGTCGCTAGCAAAATCCATAGCCAAAGCCGCACTATGATGAGGCCTAAGAAGCAGAACACTGATGTAACAACCTGAGATAAGTCCGCTAAGGTCCATCATCTCACCACCTTCCTGCCCATCCGAACCTCCCTCTCCATCACTGCGAAGCGAGCAGCTGGACATGGCATGTTGGGGGCAAGGTCTCTCCCGCATGGCGGCGCCCGAGTTCGTCGAGTCTTGCGCGCCTTCCAAGGTTCAGGGCACGGATGCAGGAACGATTTCAGCAGGAAAGGGGTTGAGGGTTTGGGATTTCGGGGAGAGGGCAATTCAACATGAGAATCACATAATCATGATCATGGAAGATTAATGAGCAACTTCCAACGACACTGGAAGAATGTAAGAACAAAGTGATGAGGCGGAGTGTGAAGGGCAATCGCAACCATGGCAATTCTGGCACAAACCCCCTGCGGTTTCAGGTTTGAGCTGTTTTACGGTTTGAGGTCTTGTTGTCTTGTGGTCGAAGGATTGAAGCCTGAGGTTAGGGGTTGAAACTTGAGGGTTGCTCCCCACCCTCCAACCCACCAATCCTTTGGATTCCCCCTTATTTACGCAAGATTCTGCTATTGGTGTGGCAAGTTTTTTGATGGGGGCATTGGTGACGGGCGCCTTCTTGGGAGTCCCTTTAATAAGGACTAATGTATAAGGGCCCATTTTGGCGAGCATGGCAACTTTGCAACTTGAGCCTTCAGTTCTGCACGAAGAAACTAATTGTTTGGATGGAGCAAGACAGTTGATGCACCGGACTGGGGTCCTCTACAAGGGAAGGACCCGAAACAACTTACAGAAACTTATCCAGGTATACTTTCGTAAAGTGGAGAAAAATACATGGCTGGCTTGCGCGCTCTTGCTAATCCCCAAGCCCATAACTCCCACATACATAATCCTTCGCAACCTCCAAAATCCCAACATAATCCCTATGCCCGCTACACGCCCCTCTAGCTCGCCTTCACCTCCCTTGTCTGCGTCCCCTTGCGCGTCCCTCTCAGCGGCATGGCTCTTGATGCTTTCGTCTACTTGAAGTGTCGCTTGAACCCTTGAACCGGTGGAAGCGACCCGAGTCCGACATGTGGATATGCATGCAGATTGGGGGATCAAAGGCGTCTAGAAGAACAACCGTAACAGTGTGTGCAGAAGGTTTTGCAGGTTGTCTCAATCTTCTTGCAAGGATCCCATGATCCTGCGCCAAAGTATGGACCCCAGTATTCGAACGCAGCCTGCGTTTAACACACACCCAGACGTTTATAGTCTCTGCAATCAATCTATTTATAACCTGAGCGTGTTTTCAGAAAGCTACAACTTCTTACTTTGTGCACCTTGGGGGGGTGGGGCGGGGGCAGGTGGCTTAGATTGAGTTCGTCAGTCGAAGGATAGCAGTCCAGAGCCCAAGTACAAGAAGGAGCGCTAAGACTCTTCTCATCACTAGCGAAACTACACTGATTCCTAAACCCCACTCCCCTCAAGCCCAGACAAAATTGGGACCCAGGACTAAAAAGTAGCAGCTCAAAGAGGTCATTTTCAAAGGCCACACTCTAGGGATTATGTAGGGATTATAGGGACTACATGGGGGTTCTATGGGGATAATGGAAAGGAAAAGGAAACTACTACATTTATACAATTCCTAGTAACCCTAAACCAGCGAATCCTGACCTAAACACAGGTTTTCAGGAGGTGTTCAAGGCAATTGCTCCAGCTACACTAAATTAAGTGAGTTTTCAGGTGGGTAGCTAGTAACCTTACTTAATGCTTATGCAGGGCTTAAATGGGGGCACTTGGACTATATAAAGGGTATGCAAGGCTTATATGGGGGAAACTACTCACCTCAAACTTCCGTAGGCTAAAAGAAGGAAATGGAAACTGAATTCCAAGAGGAGGTTCATAGATGGATGATATGAGGTTTGGGGATAGTACACGCAATAATGGAGAGTCCAGTGGGGAAGCAAAGGTAGAATAAAATGGTGACTGAGGAAATATAGGGGGCCTCTAATACCGGACCATATCTACACAAGGAACCCGGGACCAGAAAGCTGGCAAGCATTTAGATTTCAGCGCCATAGTTGGTGTAAACCGCCCGTCAACGGTGCAGGTTTTAGCGTATGGGGTTTGAGGATTATGGTTTAGGGTTTAGGGTCTAGGCTTTGGGTTTGGGGCGTGCTGAGCTCCCAATGATTGCTGACATGTTGTAGCGATTGTAATGGCCTGAGGGTGTTTTTCTGCAAGCACGTCTAACTTATACGGGGTAAGCGAGCGCTTACTCTGGAAAGGATTGGCTCCGTAGACTGCATTGTACTCCGCGCTGTTCAAAAAATTTGTATTGCTACTCAGGCCCTGTGCCAGGAATTCAAATAACACGTACTAGTAACATTATAAACCCCAGTCTCCATTCATTTTCCATTTGATTCTCCATTATTGGGGTGTATATCCCTGAGGACCTTAAAACAAATCGAGAAATCCGGTTGTAACTTCCAGGAAACTTCTGCCCTCTTGGCTCCCAACTGCATTCGACACACTCTCCATGGAGACGAAGGGCTGGATATGGATGCGGACCACAATCCGGGAGTCCGAAACTCTTTTTTGGGTTAAGGGTTCGTGAGGTTGATGGTTTAGGGTGTAAAGAAACTCTAACAATGAAACCCTCAACTCAAATCCCTGAAGCCCTAAACCTCACAAAAGTCCCTTCTCCAAATGTGGGATGTCCTCATGACCTCTGCAGCCCCGGACGTTTTGTAGCAAGGAATGGAGAAATGGAAATGAACATGGAAACTACTATAGTGTTGGGGATTATGATTATATACGGCTACTGTGGGATCCTTTCCTGCATTGCAGGAGAAGATAAAAGCTGTCCCAGCTCTACGTGCGCCTCATGATCAGCTGCCGAATACAGATGCTGCTGCTGCTTGTCGCTGAGAGTTCGGGCCCGTCATATACTCTGGGTGTCTAGGGGCAGCGTGTGGGAACTGCAAGGACTGCTTCTCTCGTTGCTTTGTCAGGACCCACATGCATCTGCTGATCTCTTGCATGCTGTTCGAAGGCTAAACGCCTGAGAGATGAGCCGAAAGGAACAGTCAGAGTTGTGCGGCAGAAAACCCTGCATAGTAATACGGGGGGGATAAAGGGATTATATAGGGATAATGGAAAAGACGATGGAAACTACCATAATGAAGCATCAACTGGAAAAGAACATGGAAAATGAAATGGAAACTAGGCAAAAAAAATGGGAACTTGGTTTCGGGCTTGGCCTGAAGGCCTCAAGTCCAACACCTCATACTTCCATAGGGCTGCTGGGTAGCTTACGCCAGTTCCAACACCAACGAGAAACTTTTCTTTCACCCAACAATAGAAGCCTCTCCCCTTGATAGCAGTGCTGTTCGCTGATCTTTTTGGCTTTGCAAAGCGACCATTCATGATTTGAAGAAGGTCTCCTTGCCAGGATGCTTGGAGCCTGATGTCGGGTTGTCCAGAATTTCTGGCAGTCCCTGTAATGAGGATAATGGTATCTTGGGTCTTTATATTAAGGTCTCCCTATCTTGGGAAAGTACCACATTCGCCAGACCGCTAGATTGGGTTGGGACCGTATGCCTGGCCCGGCCTGGATCCTCATTTTCATTCACATCCTGCTGGTTTCCATACGCTTCCTCCGAAAACGAAAACCAAAATGATCCCAACAAGAAATTGCGCTAGCTGCGCCAAAGAAACCTGTCAGTCCGACTGAAACCTGAAGCATCAACTAGCTAAATACCTACAGTCCTTATCTTTGACCATCTGAGCCCTGAGATGTCAATCCGCCAAGTCCGTGCGGTGGCAGCATTCGCTCGCTCCACCCAGGCCGCCAGCAAAAAAAAAGTCCGGGAACCTAGAACCCCAGAAAAGTGCACGGCATAGCAACGCAATCCACAAACAACAAATCTTCAGACCACCTATGCTCAAATTTCCCATGTCCTAAGCGATGCTCCCCAAAGTCAGTCTGCCTGGGCCTTTTTTCCCGCAAACTGAGCACACCGTTCCGGTCTTCGGTCTCATTGTTTCGTCGTCGCCCCGTCTCTCGCGACGTGCTGCCAGCAAAATGCAGCCCAAAGTACCCAAATGCCTTGGAGGCCTACAGGCACTATGGCTCATGGACAACTCATGGTCAGAGGTTTAGGCTTCAGGTTTCAGGGTGCTGGTTACATCCCTTTTTTGGGGGGAGTGTCCACAAGGATGCAGAAAAGGGACCCCTAGAATTTTAAACAAGCCCATCATTTGAATAGCCCCACCTCCTTATCTGGAAAGCATTGTATCCTTGCGATCAATGAATCTCCTGTCCTTGGCAGCACGCTAACAGGGCCTATTTGAGCTATAGCTACAGTCTAAACTCCTCTAGATACATCCCCTTCAAGGAAATTTGGATTATGGCCCATTTGGGAGCAACTCTAGACTGGAGGCTTTCAACATGAAGTCAGAGAATCTACAAAGTCTTCAAAGCCCTCAGATCCTTTGCGACAGCCTTGCCTTTGGAACCCCACACTTGACACAAAAAACAAAGGTCCCCGAACTCGCAAGCGTTGCAATGCCCTGCACTGAAAAGGCTATCCAATCCTTCCGGAGCTGTTGCCTGACATTCTCACCCAAAACGGCTGCATTTCCGAAGGTGAGTTAGGACAGTTTCATCTGCCCGTGAAAAGCAAGGTGAGCAGACAGCAGCATTGAGGGCTCAATGAGGACTGCAGTAGCGGAATAACGGAAGCTTGACTCCTGGTGCGGTTTCAGGGATTGAGGGAGAGGGGTTCGAAACGAGGGCCTCCTGGGGGGAATTTTGAAGAAGTACCAAGTAGCCCCTCAGGGAAGACGCCCAGCGGCCTACTGTCCCAAAACAGCAACTGAGGGTCGGTCAGACAAGCTCTGATTAGTAGTTTTCACAAATCAAAGGCCCCAGACGACATGCCCCACGCTGAACGTTGGCGACTCCTTGGAGATAAAGGTCTGAAAAGGGAGGATGCTGAACCCTAAGCCCTAATTTTCAGAAGCTACCAAGTCGCTACTAGGCGTTCCATGCCTGAAGGCCCCATGGATTTGCTAGTCTTACTCCAACTTCATTGGGGTGTTCACGGGTTTCAGGATTGCGGTCACCCTTGAGCGGGTAGAAGCAAAGTAGAGGGGAATAGATGGCTTCGCAACTCTCTCTTTGGCTCAATCTACTCAATGCCAGGGGGCTTGGCATTCACATCGGGGTCTAAACGAGCAAGTCTTACTTTTGGACGGTTTGCAGGCAGGGTCTGAGTTATGAAGGGAGAGCATTGGTGATTTTTCAGGCCTCTAACCTACCATTTGGAGCTTGGGTTCCCTAATCCTGGCCGTGACAACTGTCTGCAAAGGGCCCTCTGCTGCCTCGAAAGCAGAAGACTTAAAAACACCTCAACACTCCGATCGGGCTCAGAAACCCATACTTATACTAGATATGAATGACTGCGCTACCTCTGGCTGCAACGATTACTGGCATAACTCCTATACTCCGGCTCCGTTCTTCTCTTTTTCTTTTGATTCTGCTACAGCTATTGTGACTATGACTGAAGTTGACATTGACACAGCTACCGCAGCCACGGCTACAGATTCATGTCCTAGGAGACAGGAGCAAAGAGTTGTTGAGTTCATTATGCAAGCTCAATGGGAAACCTAGGAAAACACATGCTTGCGGGGCACGGCCAAGATAGCTTATACATCCAATCCTTACAAGTAGCAAGCCAGTGATTGCAAACCCTACTGCCCTGATTGTAATGCAAAAGCATCATCTACTTGTGGCACAGCTGCACACGTGCCAGTGCCGACATCAGCGGTCTGAGTGAGATGATGCGGCTGCTGTTTTTGTGAAAGACGTGCGGGGTCTACTGGGACCACGAAAGTCGACGGCTTGTGGCACATCCACGAATTAAGAAGCAACCTTTGCAACTCACTTGTGCTCAGGCACAGCACCCTGGGTTGGCTCGGCTCAGGGAGGGAGCATGCCACATGGAGGAGCAGT